AGGAACCGCGAAGAGGATTTTCTTTCTGGCCTTGCTGGAACGGTTTTTTCTTCTGAATTTATAAATAATTGGTTCCTTCTACTCTCTCAGTTTGATCTGTATCACATGAAAGTCAGATTTTTAATCATATTTTTTCATGCTAGTAATATTTGGTTTATTTAAAATTAAATTTGATCAGAAAATTAACATAATCAGTAATTTGGCGACAATATAAGTAGCAATTTGAAGGGGGAAACCATTTTACCTTTACATTGTTTATGAGAAGCAGATATTTTCACTGCATAATTGTGGCAGTTATTGAATTATTAAAAAACTTTCACTATGATGCTCTTTTAAATTTGTTAATTTTAATTCCATAATTTTATTTGAACTTTTGTTTGATATAAACCCTCAATAATAGTTCTAAGTTGCAAAAATTCATGCATTATAATTTATAATTTTCTGAAACACAAGTTCAGGTCATAGATTTGATTATTATTATTATTATATTTTTAATTAAAAAATTGTCAGCTGACAAACACTTTTATTTTCCATTTTGTTTATCAAATTTAATTTAAGTTAATAAATTTTATTTATTTAAGTGATCTTAATCTGACAATGGATGTTGAACATGTAAATCAGATTTCCAAAGACCAGCCAGAGCTTTTAAAATTAATTAACCCTTTCGTAACAAATAATCGTTCGGCTAACCAGCTGCCGTCATCGTTCACTGCGAGATTCTTCTCTCCAATAACAAGCACCACGTTATGCAATTAATTCATTGCTTCTTAAATTAAAGCGGCGAGTGAAAGAGAATGCGCGCGGCACACATAAAAGTTCATTGTGTTTTCATTCATCTCTGTGGCGCACTCGTATGCACTTGTTCGCGTTAACACAGGCTGAAAATTATGCGCGCATGAACCGGCGCCACTTTCTTACGTCATTTCCAAACAATCATAATAATATATGAGAGTGAATGCGTACCTATGTGAAAATTTCCAAACTAAATTGCGTTGCCGGCCGACTGCAGTTTTTATTTTTGCACAGCCAGTTCTCACATATTAGAGGCCTAAAGCTCTTTTGCCGGCGACAGTTTCCGGTGCAGTAGCGATGTGAGGGAGATATTGTTCAGGATTTTGGCCTTCACTCAAGGGCGATTCTCTTCATGAATGGTTTAATTACACAAAACTTTATTGTGCTGCACAACAATAATAATTAAAAAAAAATCTCAACTCGGGTGCATTTCGATGGTCTCTCAAGGATCGCTAGACTGCATCGGAACTTTTCATCTCTCACAGGAGGAAATGCTGGATGTAATATATTGTTTTATTTCTTTTGTTTGAGCGCTTGAGTAATTTTGGCAATGGCAATTTGCATGAATAAAAATGCAAAGTATTGTTTTTTAAATCAAAATCCCCCTTTTTCATAGAATTTGGTATTTTAATTAGTTAAAGTATCAAGGGTTTATTTATATTTTTAAAAAATAAAAATTTTCTTTTAATCACCTTGAAACTATCCTTTAGATTTTTTTATTTTGTGCTATAAATTACAGGGTAATCTCTCATCCCACGTTTTTATTGAGTGTGGAATAAAAACACCTGCATGCAGACAGTTACATTACGCTGATTTATGAGCCATGCAGTTTACTGGTTAATAATGTGTTGCACCGCATGCATTTTTTTAATTCATAGCTGTCCACACACATTCAAACAGAAAACCACGCATTTTTCTCACAGTACCTAAAAACCATGGTAGTTTGGTTGACCGAATCTATTAGCCGCAAAATGAAAAAACAATTATATATATTGTATCTTCTTCGGCAAATATTTTTTAAGAGATTACGTTTCGGTGTGAATTGATGTACCGGTCTTTGTCCAGCTTTTCTTACATTTTTGCGGTGAGCCATGGGTTCTTTTCTTTCAGAAGGAAATAGAGAGCTGCCAGCTGCAGCTCGGGTGCGAAAAGAAGCGGAGCATAAGTGCATTATTTTTTGTTTGTGAGCTGCATGTTCATCAGGGCGTTTAGTGGCGAGCTGCAATAAAGTGAAACACGCGTAATGAGCAGGTAGTGTAGCGTGACTTATGACCCACCCTGATAATGGTGAAGTGTCTAACTGTATCTGTGCACCGGCAAGAAGAAAGGAAAGAAACAAAACAATGACAAAAAAAAAGAACTGCCCCTTGTAATTATTTGTTCTTGTTCCGACGTTCGATCTGGCGTCAACTTTGTACCAAGTGAAGTGAGCGCGGAGAGGAAATGAAATTGCGCAAGAATAAAGGGCTTTGTTGGTCCTCCTCACACTTGTTTCTTCGTTTAAAAAAAAAATAATAAACTGCTGGGATGTATAATGTGTTGTCATAAAAGTTTATCTCTCCGCTTTAAGCAGGAAGGGCAACATCGAGGGTGCCGAGCTTTACATTGTGATTCTTGGGCCAGCTGATAAAATTCCATTCATCTTTTGCTGTCTCCAGGCAAAGGCAGAGTTAAAATCCTTTAATTAAAAAGCAGCTATTGTTTCCTGTCAAAAAAATTAAATTTCAGAAATCTTGGTATCTAAAGAAAAATTAACTGAAACAAATTAAGTAGTTCTAAAAAAATTGAATTCACAACAAATATTATTGCACTTAATGATATTATTGAAATTTAATTAAATATGATAAATAGGTTTCGTATTTTTTATAACTCGTGGTGATAAATTAATGCAACTTGAAAATTCAAAAAGGTTTTAATTTTGTGTACACATAAAATTATAGGAAGACAATTCTGTCTCTCATTTGCGCGATTTCACTTGCACACGGTTCAAAACACGTATGATTAAATTGCTGGTCACAATTTATGCTTGGCACTCTCTCGTCACCATGATCGCCTCCAAGTTCAATTTCAGAGTTGAATGGTTCTTGATAATGGTATAGTGGTAGCTTCCTTGTACTTTTTCGTCACATTGCTTACACAATTGGTTACAAACAAGTGCATTCAATCATTGGTAAACCACACACCTTGAAATTCCTTGCTGAAGACACAAGAAGAAAAATAAAGTAATTTAGATACTGGCAATTAAGATTTTCTCTTCAAACTTTATTAAAATATTTCTTTCTTTACAAATAGTTTAGCTGTCACAAAAATTGCCCTGATACAGGAAAATTTAATTACTGAAGTGGCGAATAATGATATATTTGTCCCCTCCAGCATCCAGAAACGAGCTGTGAGAAAATCGCCAAGAGTATAAAGTGTTGGAGTGTAACGAGTGCAGCTTGCCGCATGTACACCTTCTCGAGTTGCTACAATCTGCATGCGAAGCAATGATATTTTGATGAGGTGCGAAATGCGAAGAAGTGAGAGAAGGGAATAACGGGCCGGTTTGCTTGTCGGCGGTGCTCACGCTTGCATGGCACCCACACCGAAACGCGCTCATATTGCTCACTGACCCTCGTCGCGCTAACGAAAAATAGAGAAGCCGAAAACCGGCTGCTTGATGATATTTATTTTGTACACTCTAATTTCTTCTCTCACTCGCTTTTGTTTCTTCCACTGGCTCAGCACGCGAATTTCTCTCCGCAGCCAACGGAACCGTCCGACAAAGCCGCCACAAATATGAAAGATTACTCGGAACGAATCCTATTTAAAACTATGCAGCGAAACCTGATACTTTTTTATACAAGTTTCCTCGCGCGCGGGGTACTCAAGAGGCTGCCGACGAGATGTAAAATATTATGTGTCGATGGAAAATAGACACTCAAGTATTTTATGATGTGTTGCCTCTTTTTACTCATTCTAAATGCATAAACCAGTGTCCTTTGTTCTTGAAAAGTTATGGAGGGACGTTGAGCCAATGTCTCTACAGACAAGAAATAATTTGAAATTTCATTTTTGTGGATCGCCAGATGTTAAGTTAAAATTTAAACTATCATAATTGGTTTATTAAAAAAAAAATGACAATATAATTATGAATGGCTTTATTTTATTTTTTTTTGCAATATATTAACAGAAGTTAAAAATAAATTACAAACACACATCAAACCTTCTATTGCAAATAATTTCTCTGAAGTGTCCCATAAATTTTTTGGTAGAATTTTTTTCTACTGGCCAAAAGGTATTTATCGTATTTATTATAAGCAAACATGTTTAACCGTACAAATTAAAGTAGAATAAAAGTTAAAAATTTCCACTCCTTGACCTTAGAATGTTATTGCAAATTATTCAGCCTTTGCTAGAGTCTCTTTATTCATCTGTCAATTGTTGAAAACAATTTATTTAAAAAATTTACCTTAAAAAATTAAAATTCTTTTTCCTGAATAATAATATCACACTTAATTAGAGTATGCAAGTTTCCATCTGAAACCAAACAGCGCCCTTTCCGCAAAACTCCTTCCTCTTCAGACGAGGCGTTTTCTCCTCTTTCGCACCCATGCTTGAATTTGTTTTGTAAAAAAAAATCGTTGTGCATAATTACAAGACGTGTGTGATGGCGAATCACAGGCACACCCTTAAGCCGGGTACCAAAAAGTTGGTTTATGATCTCAAGCCCGTGACATGCGACTTCCGTCGGGTGCATAATTGCATTAAACTGGCCCGCCCATCAGAAAGAACAATTAAAGTCAATTGCTAACAAAATATACAATTGACCTCGTTATGTACTCACCTCTGAAAATTGTTTATCCTGAGTGCACTCATGTACTGCCCTTTTTTTATTATTGGAGATTTGCTTTGATTTGAACCAAGGCGGATAAATTTTGATATTAAAATGAATTTAATTAATATAATTTCATTCAACAAATGATAAAAATAGTTTTTTTTTTTAACTCATGTAGCTGTCTTGCGAAAGTACCAAAAATACACACCCAATTACTTTAATTTTTTTAACATAGACAATTTTATTTGCCAAGGAAAAGTTACATCATACGACGCAGTAAATACTATAAGCTTAAAATAGCCACATATTTTATTGCCACAAGTTTTACCTTAAAAGTCACGCTTGGCTAAATCAGCACACTAAAGCGTTCTCCGTTTGCTCTTTCTTTCAGGTGGCGGCCCGTAGCGGCGACACGATACACAACTTGGTCTCGCCGATCCTCGACGAGTTTCAACTTGTGGCGGACCTGAATGGTCCAGCGCCCTATGAGAGAAGTCCTGACCACCCGAACGGTGTCCCTGTGGGCACCGGGTACGTCCTTTTGCTGGCAGGGTCGAGAGCGTTGGTCGACGAGAAGGCTGACGTTGCCTCGCTCGAGGGTGACATTCTGCTGGTTGAAACAAAACAGGGCCATTCTACGAAAGCAGGTAATTTAATTTTCATATTATGCAATTAATCTATTTTGCAATTGTTCTATTTTATAGTCAAGCACATTTATTATATTAGATCTTGACAGTTAAAAGCTATAATTATTCAAAATTTTCTACTGATTTCACTTCAACATAAAAAAGTTTTGTGATTTGATGTAAGCCACTATAAGCTGAGCCTTATATTTTGTTGATATGCCATGCACAGTTTCCACAACCAAATCTGTAGCAATAATTAGGAGCGACAACAGTGATTCATGCTGTGTTTGCTATGTGGTGAAAAATGCACCCAATATCATCTGGCCAGGTGCAAAAACCGAGTTCTATGTATTAATGACCATTCTAAAAATAAGTGAAAAGACTTTGAAAACCTTGTCGCAAAGTATATTAATTGTTTCTGTGAAAATTTTTATCTATGTTGAAAGATATACTCAAATGAGTTGAAATTAAAATCACTATGCATATAGGCCATCTCAACTTGCCGATAGAGGATTAGATATAATGTGTTCCATAAGATAAACAGGTGTTTGTCTTTTTAAATATAATTTTCTTGTTTGTTTAAAAGATTTTTATACAAAACAATCAACTTTGACAGAGAGCTAACAGAGAAAGCTGCTCAACAATCTGAACAACTAGATATTTAAAAAAAAAATAATCAGAAAATATTTTAAATACAGTTTAAAAACTATTTATATAATAATAAAAATAATTTGCAATAGTAAAATTACTTAAAAATATTATTATGATTAAAAAGAAAAAGTATAACAAATTCAAATAACTTGAATAATTGTAGGACTTGACCCACGGCTATATTTGGCGGAGGAGCTGTACTGGAGTGAAAAAGAGCACTGCGAAGCCCTGGCATCTGCGAACGAACTTTACGGCAAGCCCTTGCAGCGTCTGGGGTGCCTGAACGCTTTTGAGCAGGACATGATTTTCGGCACCCTTGTCGATTTCCAGAGGGAAACCTGGCAGAGGTGCCTGGAGGTAGGCAACCATTTCCACCTTGCCCCCTACCCATACAGATACTGTGCATATATATCTTTCTTTTCTTAATCGCGCATCGAGGCCACCAGCATGCTCATTGTTATTCACCTTGCGTGAGCATGCTGCTGGTGACACAAAATCTCCTTCGTCTCTGTAGCACAATCAGCCCGCAGATTGCGATCTATACTAACACACGACCAGATTTATTACACGCGGCCCGCATTTTGTCACTATAAGCATAGTTACCCTGCTCAAAATGCGGCGGACACTTGATCTGCTCGATAATTAGCAAAGGCCTCTAAACGTCGAGCGTCGTTATTTTAAATTTACACACACGGTATACGAGCAGCAGGTGTTGCTGTCACGCAGGTTGCATATCAAGCAGGCTGAAGCGATAATTTTTACCTTTGCGGTGCTGCCCCCTACGTGGAAAATAAGTACATTTTAAAGTACGTTTTTTAATAATGATGCGTATTTATATTTTAAATATTGTTCAAATTGTTTAAATGGTGAATAACTATGAAAAAAAGTTTAATCGCAATTTATAACAGGAAAAACCATTGCCTATTATTTTTGTTTAGAGTGAGTTCACGGCTATCTGTTTAACATTAAGATCTCAATTATGTTAGTCTTTCCATTGAAAGTCATATGAAATTTTGTTGTTTAAATTAATTTCTCAAATTTGATTCCAAAAAGATTGAATAGTTATCATCATTGGAATAAAATTTAATGAAACAAAAAATTTCATGCAAAATCAGTTACATATAAAATTGAAGTGAAAACATAGGGATTTTTCTCTTATATAACTTTTTTTTAATTTTTTTGTAAAAAAGTATCTGTAGTAAAAAAAAGATCGATTTCGTTTTTTTTTCACTTTTATGAACGTTTCATCAAGTTCTTCACTCAGATTATTTTTTACATGCAAATTTTGCATTTAAGCTTTGGATTTGCTAGTCGTGTTTGGTGAGACGACAAATGATTACCGTAATTTACACACTTTTTATTATTTGAACGCTATTTACTCGAGTCGCTGAACCTTCCTGTACAAATTTGAGTGCTTTTTCAATAAACACAGTGTTGCACTCAACAAAAAGTCTCGCAAGAGAATTATAATTGCGGTGCGGAGCAAGTTGCAAAAATATGTGCAGTCTGAAGCAACATAAATCATTTTGCGCAACAATTAAATTTACAGCTTCTTCACATTCAAGCACGGGAAAAACGCTTTGAGTTAAAACGTCTCGACATGAGCAGAGTAATTCCATCGCAGCATGGGACATCCCAGAAGCAGCAGATGGATGACTTGGCTTTTTTCGTCGTGCAAATTGCTACATGCGCACAGGGCACATTAGGACGGTTGTTTTCTTAAATTTATTGATTCAGTCAGTCCGTTTGCAAAAATAACAACTCCCTGCAATGAAACGAATTTTGACGCAATTACCATGCAAGAGAATGAGGGAGATTTTACGCGTTTTGCTATTGTAGAAAAGGACGGAGAGAAAATAAAAGAAGGAATTTTTCTTGTTCACGCTGGCACCACCGTTAAATCATTTTTGATATTTCATTTCCGAGCACAAAGCGTTTGAGATTCTTTTTTCTTCGATTGTTTTGCGCGCGCGAGTGCAGAGATCGTCGAGGCGTAGCTAGCTGTTTAAATTAATAACAGGCATGTCTTGAACTAAATGGACTGTTAATTAAATAAAGGCGCAGCGCAAATAAATAATCGCATTGTGTGGCATTCCCATCACGGTCAACAATAAATAACTCTAATAAAACAGTTATGAATTTTCGCGCCTCCCCATTCCGAATGAAAACATTCGCAAATTGCCTGTTTTTATTTCTTATGTGCACCATTAGCAAAGTGGAGACCATAGGAGCATTCCTTAGTTTCTAAGATTGAAATCTTTCATTTCTTTTAAACACGACCTATGCATCCCATATTTGGAGAACGGGTGATTTATATCTGTTGACAGACGCCCGGCGGTAGACCTTTTTCTGGTTCACTAAAACTTATCAATGTGAGTGATTGCTTCCTATAGACAGTTGATTGAACGAAATGATAGAACCGTTGCTGCACAAGCAGGCATAGCTCAAGAAAAAGTATATTATTGAAAAGTTTATACAGAAGTATAAATTTGTATGAGAATTTGAGAATGGCCTTAAAAATAATACAAAAAGAAATATAGCAATATATATTAACTAATTTTTTTTATATGTTTTGATAAATTTCAAATTAACTCCATAGCTAAAGAAAATTGGTATTTTGATATCGTTCGCGTTCACTTTTTCATTTCGTTGTACTTTCACTATAAAAGGTTAAAATTTATTGAATTAAGAACAATATGACTATTAAAAAAAAGCAGAAAACAGGTCAAGTTCAGCTTATATTGCAGGCAAAAATAAAATTCAGTTAATTTAAATATAATGTAGTTAATTAATAATGGCTTTCTCCAGCTGCAAGAACGAAAGAGCAAAATATTAACTTTTGGTCCATCTGCTGCACTAGCAAATGAGTCACACTGCTATATCTATACATGCTACATAGTTTCGCGGGAAAAGAACGGGAAACACGGCTGCAATAATGTGAAAGAGCATCCCTGCGCGAAAAAACAAGAATGAAAACTGGCTGTCAGAATGTGTGCGGCTGGTCAGCGCATAGTATAATGGGCAGAGCAAAAAGGTCCACTGCTGAGATGGGAGATCGTGATGGTCACGCTCTGAAAAAGCAGAGCACGCCAACTCCCGCAATGTCATTAACGGCGGCCAACACAACTCGGTAATAAAATAAAACGCCGGCAATTGCACCGAATTCGTTCGGACACGCTGCATTTAACAACCTGATAATTCCACTTAATTTCGCACCTCTTTTTTCCGAATTTCTCATTGTGTGCGGCGGCTGGGCGCCAAAGTGACATTCCTGTTTTTCGCCTTTTCACGCTTGCCGATTCTCAACGCCCGTCTCGCAATTTGGGTTGTGTTTAATTGAATGACATTCTTGTTTTGGAACATCCTTTCATAAGAGAAAGAAAATAAAAACAATATTTTTTTTAATGGCATGCAAAAAATTAATTCTTTACAAGATGTCAGATCGTTGAAAATGGTGATCAAAATTTTTTGGCGGATTTTCCAAGAACCTGTGAGAAACAAAAAATTTGATTTGTTAAAAGATACACTTATCCAATTGATCTGATTATCTCTGTGATTATCTTTTGCTATTGAAATTTTTTCTTTAATAAGGCATTAGTTTCATTTTACGAGTAAAATATAATCTCCCTGCAGTTCTGCACGTTTGATGCAATTTAACATCCAAAAAGAACAGAGAAATGTGATTGCATAAAATTTCTTGCACATTTTTTTTCAAACGAATGTCTTTTCCGATCTGCATTTTTAATTCTGCTTCAAGTTAATATTTAATTAGTGTGTAGCCTATAGTACCTAAAGTGTTTAGAGGAAACATTTAGTGTAAATTAAAATCACTCAGTTTTGCATCCTTCTTTTTCCGCCACCATGTTTGAGTAATTTTTTTTATTCATTGTACATGCAGTAAATCAGCGGACAACTTTCAAAAATGCTTGTCATACCATTTTATACTGTTCCAGCAGCGGTATAGAAACTCTTTTGCCTATCGGGCTATAAACGCAGCGTGCGCCAGAGTCAACCCAAAATTAGCATTTTCTTTTTTACGCATCATATAATTTTGCACCAAGTCCCAATTTCTCTTTCTGATGAAACCTCGTGATTTGTTCCAATAACAAATTGCCACCTTGTTTCAGCTGGAGCAGTGCCTCAAGTCCTGGAATCCAGACAAAACTACCTTTGGTGAGTTCAAAAATTTCTTAGTTCGTTTTTTCACTTCTATAGCGGTGTCGAATTTCGGCATATGGGCCATCAGGATAAATTTATGCGATCGATCGCGCAGATTGTAGCGCTCCGTCGGAGCGACCGACGGGCACAAAATAATATTTTGACCGTGGCCTTGAACGTGAAAGTGGTCGGTCGGTTGGTCCATCGCTTTGCAGCCGCCGCCGTCTCATCCTGGCAAAAACGACCTCAGGGTAACTTTTCAAGATGTTTAAAGGACCGCCCCCGCTCCATCGAAAGCGATCTGGAACGATCCACTTTCGAGACCAGTCACGCCGCTTCTGATGTGAGGGAGACGACAATGGTCCCTCGATTGGTATCGTACGCCGTCCACATGATCGATTGAGACATTGGAATTTGTTTTTTTTAGCCGAATAAGACGAAGTGTCCTCGAATGAAGTGGTACCATAGATATTTCAGATTGAAAATTAGAAAAAAAGATCAATTGTCAATTTTAATATTCAAATGAAGAAATAATTTATGAAATGCTATAAGTGATGATTTATTTTAGATTTTAGGAAATAATAGTAAACAATAATAAAAAAAATACTTGATTTTTGTTTGAAAATTGTGCAGAAAACAAACACAATTAAAATGCAAGTTTCAATTAATCATAATTTTTTATTATGAATTTAGAATTTAAGCATCAGAGTAGACATTAAAAAGGGCTGTGCATAAGTTAAAATGCATATTAATCGGAAAAGGGCCATATTTACTTAAAATTACGAGACATATATGGCAAAGAATTTTGTTTATATTAATCAACAACTTCTTAAATTATGTTTTTATTTAATTTTTGTTTGCATGTTATTAAATTGTTTTTAGAAAGCATAAAATAATTAGTTTTTAGTCATTTGATTGTTGAGCGAATTTCGGTTCAAATTTTCATGTCTCACGCGGCACTTATTTCCGAGACGTTTCCCTTTTACTCTGTAATTTAACACGCCTTCTTGTTGTAACAACTGTTATGAGTGGCCAGGAAGCGACCAGCTTGAGGACCACCACGATTACACTGCGCAATGCACTCTCACTCAGCAAGTTTGCAGTGACAGAGGGAAAGTTAAAATTGCATGCGCAAATTGGGAATCTGCAGGACCATTTCCATTCATCTCTGCAATGGATCTGTAGGAAGTTGCAAAATTTAAGTACAATAATTGTAGAGAGGAATTTTCTTGTCGTATGAAAATATTGTATTTTTTCATCAAGTTATTGGATTTAAATTATAACTTGATGCCTCAGAAGCACTTCACACAGTAATTAGTGTGAAGTAAAAAGTGAGTAAGATTATCAATCATAAAAAGCAATTAAATTATTTTTTCAATATTTTCTTTTAAATTTAATTTACTGATCCTCCTATTAGATGTCAACGGATTCGGTTTTCAGAAGAGCACCAATTAAATAATTATTTTTTACTCTGCTGTTCTCTCTCTCTCGCCGTTGGTCCATTAACGCAAAATCCATTAGGCGATTGATTTGCACGTTTGCGCACTCAAGTCTTTTCAATATCAGAAGTCACGCGCTTTTGATGGATCCACGACTCCCTGCACATCGCGAGGGGTCACACGTCCAGAGAGAGGTCCTCATTTCTCTGCGTCGAGACCCAGAACTCGTGCTTTACGATTATCCAGGGTGTCTGCGGACAAATGAAATTTCCTTGTCTTTTTCTTCCTTCTTGAAGTGCATCACGTGACCGGCGCTTAATTGCGCGCACGGCTTCTTGCGATGAAAGTGACGCGACCTCTGGTGCTCCCTAGGTTTTGTGTCGAGTCCCTTTGGCCTAGATTATTTTTTATCCAAGAGAGAGCCTTTGTTTAGCTAATGACCCTCTGAGCATTACTCTTAATTAACTTTAATTTCTCTTCAGCACCGTATTAACGAATCAAAATAACGTTACGTTTGAAAAAGACTTATCCTTCAACTTTCAATTTTGCATGGTTATTGTTTAGGCAATTTTTTTTTATTAAAATACTTCATATTATTGAAGATGAGAGCTGTATAATTATTAAAAATAAACATGTCAAAATAACCAAATTTTCTTTTCATAGTTGATATTCAAGAGGAATTAAGAAAGAATAAATTAATAAAAAGCACAAATCCAGCAATATTTTTATTTATATTTAATTGATATCTTAAATTTCTGCAATGTCTTACGAAGAAAGTCGCGCGAGAAAAATATAAAATGAAAGTGCGATGAAAAAACAAGATTAATTCTCTCCGAAAAGGCTACAAAATTATACACTCTTCCACAAGTTTAATGAGCCAAAGGTGAGTCAGCAGCAGGAGAGAGATGAGCCCCGAAACAAAGAATTAACTTATCATTTGGCATTGATTAAAATATTAAAAGGCTGCGTGCGAGTTATTTCCATATTAAATCGACCCCGTGACCTCTGGCCAAGTGTCCGCGGGCAAAATCGTGCGCTTGCTGAGGGCGATGAAAGCGAGATCTGTTGAAGCGCAACATAGTCCAAGAGTCCATCTAGCGAGCGGTAGTCATTCACTCTTGAGCCAGCGTGTACCTGCAGAGTTGCATGTTGTGTACTACACATTCAAGGAGTCGCTCGACCTACTATCCGCAGGGGTCACTCGCGGTACATACCGTTTTGACGTTTATTACCTGTGCGCAGGAACGCGTCCGATTTTTCAAGATCGTTTTGCGATTTTTGTGTTACAGGGCAGTGCGAGGAAAAACATACAAATCGGAATTTAAAAAATGTTTCTCTCCCAATAAATGAGAGATTCACATTTTTATCTACTTAATTGTTTATTTTTTATTTATTATAATTTTTTCTTTTATGTTTTTAAGCATTTAAATGGAGTGAAAAGACTACATTTTTTACTCGTCATTATCCTCAAACCTTTTAACTTCAGTAACTAAGTTCATATATTATACGTAACAAAATAAAATTGCAAAAATTGACTTCCTACAGTTTACAAATCATCTGGCTTTTACTCTTGATTATTTATTTTTCAATAATTCAATTCAATGCAAATATTACTTTAATTAGAGCTGTGCATTGATCATTCCTAACCTTATCCGCGAATAGGAGAAAACTTAATTGACAATAGGGAATCGTTGGAATCGGAACAGATAAATTTACCCTCGGTCAGTAGCTCTGGACCGATTATCTTATCATCATCATCTTAATTGGAGATAATTAATTACAAGGAAAATCAATACTTTGAGCATAGATGAACGGGACATGGCACAATGTTTATTATCAGATCAGAAAGATCTATCTGGACCATTTTCTATCACTGCCCTTAGCTCGCAAGTTCTGTCTTTAATTACAGCCCATCCAACAATGCGAACACAACACGGCTGTAAATCACTAAATCTGCGCATTCCAGACCACTTTCTCGCCTTGAAAACAAAAACATCGCCTTCGTGTAGCTCTCAACATTCCCCTTTGGTCCCGTTTTGCTGGTGGCTGCAATGGACCACCAAGTGAACCGCGCGCGTTATTAATTATCAAAAAAGCCGCATGTTCTTTTAGATCTGTATCTTTGCAAAAATACTTCGTGTTTTCACCGCCATAAACTATAATGCGAGTTCTGCTTTTCGAACGTGCGGCGAAATTATATTTTGACTAAACAACTTAGTTGCTCCAAAAAGCATTTACTTTTTTTAGCCTGAAGATATTTTTTTTTAAGCAGATTCAGCCTCTTATTTTTTACATTGATCTACAGTGAAATTGAATTAAAAAATTAATGATTCAATGCCACGGTTAAGAGTCCGCTGAAATATTTAAACTTGCATAATTAATTTGCTGTTATTAAAATAGAGCAAGGATAAAATAAAGCAAAGGATTTTTTCTTTTATACAAAAATTGACAAAAAGGGAATTTACTCGAATTTTGTAAAACTGCACATTTTTTGTTCAATTTACCCTCACTCTTTATATTAAATTTGTGCAAGTTGAAATAAGAAATATGTCAGTGATTTTTAATAATTTCTTAGCTTGAATTATTAAATTGATTCTAAACCTGCATTTGATTGACAACGTGTAAAAGTTTATCTGAAGTTCTAAGATTTGACCACAATCACTGTCAGAAACATTGGGCGTCTGCATTTTGGTAAATCGTTCTTTTGACGTTCTGGACGCCTAAACTAAACGCCCATACTGCTTTCATAGACAAATCATTCTTTATGCGTTCACTTTCTCGCCACGCCGAATTAAAATCTCTGATCTCATTTCGGGCACCTCTCTTTGAAATTAATTATCAACTATTGCTTATCATGCTGTCGAGCGCAGTTTGGAAGTGTTTTTTCTGCTCTGCACCAACTCCTAGCATGAGGCTGCATCAATTACCGCGTGTAAACGCCGTGGCAAATCGAATCTTGACCTTTCGATCATTAACCCGCCGCCGCGCGCATTCTCTCAATTTCTTTCCGTGAGATGAAAAACCGCGACTGCTTCCTTTTCCAGCAGATTGCGGCACGGAGATGGGCATTTGCATAAACCACATGAGCGAGCGAAATCTGCCCGTTTTGTGCTCGCCGCGGCGCCATACTGGGACACTGAATGGAGTTGGCACGCAGGGAATTCGTTCTGGTGGAAATTGCCATCATTCTCCACTGCGTGCTGCTTTTTCATCTTTTTTAACGATATTTTCACTCTGAAACGCGCTGTGAAGTCTTCTCGATCCCTAATGTTTCTCAATATTTTTCCCTTCCATAATTTCATTTTCATAAATCAGTTTAAAAACTGCTTTTTCATAGATTGGGCAAATCAATTTTTTAGTAATATTTTCTTGATATATTATTCTGTTATCTTTTTGAACTAAATTATAAGAAAAACATAATAACTGCAAAAATTAGATCTGCCTAGAATTTATTCAACCTCATACATGACTTATATGACGTTGGAAAATACTTTCAAAAATTAATTTTATTTTTAATTGATGTGTACATTTGTTTCAGAAATTAATTTCCTTCATTTGCTGTGAGTAATGAAAAAATATCAGTAAATCATTAATTTACATATTTTTCAAGAGGTTAAAAATAAATTTGGCATTTCATGTCAATTTCAGCGGACGTTGATCTCGTATTTTTTGTAAACGTCATTCCCGAATACCCCCAGCTTTATATTTTTGCAACAATCCGGGGTAAACCTGGCGAAAAGATTAGCTCTTTACTGGAGATGGGTTAAAATAAGATCACTGTGCAAGTAGGCGACTTTTTGCCTCACTTGACCAGCGGCTGCAGAGCGCGTCCATTTTAATAATTACACACCATTCGCAACGAGACGTTTCTCTTCCACTGAATAAAAGCAATTGCATCCAGTTAGATATACATGAAGTGAACCGCGGCGGCAATTAATTTGCCAGACAGAAGGCTATTAATTAGCAATCGGTCGGTCTTTTCAATAGAGTATGCGCTGCTAAATTGCCAGCATCCATCTCTGTCTGACAGAAATTTGATCCAAGTTTTTGCATGCCACAAAAGTACATTTAAATTTATTTAAAAATACAAGCAAATAATATAAAAAAAATAATTTGTTCACAATTTTTAACGATTTATTTATATTAATTGATTATTAATTGATTATTTTTAAATTAATTTTTTTATTTTATATTATTATAGTTATGTTAGCCAATACTTTTAGCTTCCTATAATTTAGTGACCTGGATATATTTCCGTTGTTAAATTAGCTTAATTATATTTATAATAGTTGAATGAATCAAAATATGTCATCTTTGAAATGCTAGGGTTAGACTTGAAGTATTTTAAATTGGGAGCTGAACTTAAATTTTATTGTATTTTCGTAAATTATATTCAATCAAAAGATTTTAATTGTCACAACTTATTTAAATATTCAACAATATTGAATAGTATGATTGCAATAGATCTCATAATTCTAACTCTACGTTCAGCTAAATTTTGACGGAAATATAAGAAGAACATTTACTTTGAATTTTAAAATTAGATTAAATTTTCCATAAAGCAACAATTATTTTTATTCTTTAAAAATAATTACCCCTTGGATTTCGCATGACACTTAAAATAAAATGAAAACAACGTTTATATAAGAGCTCAGCCTTTAATTTTCCATGTGTACCGCAGTGGAGGAGACAAGTAAAATTCGCACTTCTCACGTTGTACGATTTCGTGTAAGCGGAACTGGCGTGAATTACAATGAACTGCTTGAATCGCAGGTGGTAAGAGGAGTGTGTGTTTGTGTTTGTACATACGAGTGTGCAAAAATTACGTGCTCGAGATTGGAAAGAGCCCTTCTGCTGAGTTGCCCACGCGGACACGAACATTTTGTGCTCCGTCGAGTGACATTGGCCCCTGGATTCTCAGGAATAAGTTCACTTCAGCGTACTTAAATACACCTACCAACAAATATTTTCGCATGCAAAACCAGTCGGACCACTTAAATTTTTGTAATGCAAAACGATCAACGCTCAAGAGGGAGTCTCTCGTTTTCTCATAATTTCGCTCTCTCCCGAGCAAATTTTTTTCGCTTTATAAGAATTTCGCTCCATATCAGTGAATATGAAATAAGATTTTGGAGTTGAATATAAATTGGTTTATGATTATTGCCAGAATTTAAGTTTCAGATTATATCACAGATGCTCTGATGTTAAGTGTGAGCATGCCAAAATTTGTTCATTTAATTCAGCGGAATTCCCTTTATGAATTGCGATTCTCACTCTCAACAGAGTAGTCAACAGTCAAATTTTTACTTACAAAATATGAACAACGACTTGTAATCGGATTTAAAGTTTGCACTGTCGTCCAATATTTTAGAGTTTATTGAACTGCAAAAATATTATTATTATTATTTCATCCTTCATACTTACATAGCCAGTAAGCAAAAAGTGTTTCTTTTTAATATAATGAAAAAATAAGTTGAATAGAGTTAATTTATTTTAATTTTCTAGAGTTCATAAACGCTCAATATTAAAACAATTTATGCTGATAATGATAATAAATTTAAATTATTTATTTTCAAAATTTTTTAATGAAAAAATGTCTGAACAATTTCTGATTACATGTAACGGTTCTCTATTTGTTATGTTTTATTATCTTTTTATTTATAATTTTTTTAATATATCGCTGAAACGAAAAAAACTAAAAAAATAACAAGCAATTTGTATATGAAATCTGCATTGGAGATCGTTTGCACATACACCAATGAATAATTTCTCTGCCCAGAATTAGAGCAAAAGGAAGCCCATAAAAACTCAACAAGTGGTTTCGCCCGGAGACTCAAAATCGATACGTCACACGCACGAGCGGCGCCAAAATCAAAAGTGATTAACCTAATAAAACGAGCCACCCACAAGGCGCAGTCTGACACACATTCAGCTACCAGCCGTGCAAAAGTAAGCGTGCAAAATTTCGGCTCGGAGCATTGTTCGAAAATCGTCGTGATTCGCGAATCAAGCGGCAGAAATGAAAATCGATCGCAGATGGAAGTAGGCGAGAGGAAGGATAAGGAGAACAAAAGTGAAGAAGACCGCGGGGCTCTTCATGGAGCACCCAGCTGATTGGAGAAAGGAAAAGAGAAGGAAAGGATTAGGGAGGCTGTGGCCTGGACGAAAAACGCTTCGCACCATTCATGACGCGGCCGCCGTCATTTCACTATCTCTCTCTTTACTTCTCTGCCGCACGTGTGCTGATAATTAACTCGTCCGGACGATTGCCGCTTGATTGACACTCGGTGTTGTGCTTGTGCGTGTGCTTCGGTTCGTGCTGGCCGGCGATTGATTGATAAGAGCCACTCGCTGCGAGCGGTGATCTGAACGCGCGAATATCGCGTCTGCCGATCGCGCGCTTTGATGAGACTGCTGATTGAGCTTTGAACATGGCGTGCATGCCAATTGGTGAGTCTAGCACACCAAGGCGGTAAAATCCGCGAGAGCAATCTTGAATTGCATTAAAACCTTACATTAATTTAATTGTTAAGATAAAAGCAAATAAATATGTTATTTCAGTAAAATTGTAATAGGGAGGATTAAAAAAAACGGAGATTTTAGCTTTATAACTTTGCAGATTGGTGATCTTAAAATTGATGTTGACTTTTTCAGACTTTTTAAAGTGAATTTATGTATGATGTATTTGAGCAGAGAATGCCTGGTGTAACTTAATAAACACTATTTTCAAACTAAAATTTTGATTAAATTTAACATCACTTTTTTTAGTAAAAATTCAATTAAAATTGATACATTGAGTGCGTTCCTTTGATTTTGACGATTTTATTTACATAAGCAATGTATCTTATTTTGTGTTGGCTCAAAATTTAATTAGATAAATACTTTTAAGCAAGACTTTTTATGTGACTAGTGTTGCAGGTTGCACACATTTAATTTCAGAGGAATTTAGTGAAGGATAATTTTTTTAAAGACTACTGTATGACAATATCGGAAAATATGGGAAGTAACTTAATTTTGCGAAGATGTTGTTTTAAATTTTAAATAAAAATAATTTTTATACACAAATATTTTTGAAAATTATATTTATTATTATCCATGGAACGCTATTTGCGCTGCTCAATATTTTAGTGAATAATAAAAAATGAATTTTTCTACATTTTAGTTATTTAGGTAATCCAAAAAACGGTCTAGAGATGTAGCTTTAAACATGATTGCATCGCATTTATGTTTTCTTCTTAAGATCTGTTGAGAAATTCAGTGAAAAATTTAATTATTCATGGTTCGTCGAGGGATTCCCGCACGTCAATTTTTTCATATTTAGTTCCTGATGTGTGCAATGCCCTTACTTAAGCAAGAAATCTCTTTGTTTACAGGTCACTTGTTTTCGAAACAGTTCTGGCTGCAGCAGGACGAATACCAGGATGTCTACCGCAAGATGAAAGAGTGAGTACCGAGAGAGCAAACAACCAGTTAATTAACTAATTAATTTCCTCTCGTTATTCGTTCTCACCGATGCGCTCGATGTAATTCAATTAATTACAGCAAGCGCAATGTATCAAGTCATTGTTCCTATGCCGCACAAAAACTTTACTGTTGTGTGGTATTTTGTCTCCCTCTCGTGGAAAGTCTGCGCTTATTTTTCTTTTCCGAGGGCTTTCACCTTCGCTGATTATTATTTCTTAATTCACTCATCCAGCACGTTGACATTTAGCCAGCACAGCTATAACCTTTATTTCTCGACGGCAAATAAACAAAACAAAAAACCTTCTTGTTAATTACGCATTGTGGCACTTTTTTCATTTCATCGCGCAGCGACTGCTTTAAAAACAATAGACACACAGCTCTGAAGTCGCCCGCCAATTATTTAGTGCTGAGTAATCGCAGCTGATAGATAAATGTGGGATTTAGTTTTTGAGATTGAGCTTTTTCATTTATTAAAAGTCAGTGAGAGTGTGCATTGTTTGCTTTCATTTTGCAAATTCTTGGAAACAATTTTTTACATTCTAATATGTAAAAAAGCAGTATATCAAAATCCGAAAGTAAAGTATTCTTCATTCAAAACATTTAAAGTATTTTCATCTCTTGTGTTAATGCAAGCATATTGTGTCTAAAGTCTGTTTTGACATACTTTAAATTAATATTTATAATATACTAATTATTCCATTCCAGTAAATTTTGTATTTATCACTTAACATCACTCTCATTTAAAATTAATTTTTTTACTCTCAAGTTCGAAAACGGAGGACCCATTTAAATTTCTTTAAGATTTAAAATACTTCAATTGTAGTGGCTAGTATATATTAATATAATTTTAAATTTCTTATGTTTTACATAATAGCTTTATCTGGAGGTTTTAAAAATTTGAATATAACAAGCCTATCTAAATAATGTTTATTAAATAAACGAAATAAGAAAAAATATTTTTATTTAAAATATTTGATTAAATAAAGTATAAAACTAAATTTTATACACAACAAAATAAATCAAAATGTTTTTTTATTGAAAAACTTTTTAAAAACGCTGAAAACAAACAATAAATCAAGGCTTTTAATATTGAACACATTTGCGCAAGTTGACGAGTTAATGATTGAGCAGAAAGCGGGCGCGAGCAAAATAAATAAATATTTGATGATCACGGTGTTCTCCAGAAGACATTACTCTTGTCGAGTAGCAAGGCGCGTATAATAATTACAAGCGTGCTGTGGCATGAAAGCGCACAGCGATATAAATATGATTTTCTTGTGCTTTGCGCACAAGCTCAGCACCCAAACACTACACACACCAAAGCTAATGAGAATTCCTGATAATAATAACCTCGGCCGGTAATGAAGTGCTTAATAAGTGAGCACCGCTGAGAATAATTTTTTACGCTCACCTGGCGCTTGATCACCATAAAAAAGGAATATAATAATACATAAACTTTCCCATGCTGGTGTACACATTAAAAAAAATGTACGTACATTCAAACTTATAAAATTTTTTTTTTTCAATTTGCAGTCCAAAAATTGTCTCAAGGACTTAATTTTTATTTCAAACAATAAACTATCATGGGGGTGAATTGAAGCAGCACAGGTTCATTCCATGTACAGTTTTATTCACAGGTGCTTTTTAGAGTGCATAAAAATCCACAAAACGTGGGTCAGGCGTACAAGAGATTGCATGCGTGGTTTGACCTCTCTGTATGAAATTGTTCAAATGAACCAAAACACATAAATCCTTTCCTGTTTAAAACAAAACCAATAGAGGAAATACCGTTTTTTTTTTAAATATAACGAAAAATTAAAAAAAAAAATCATACTAAACCATAATTTGTTTCCTTAAAATATATTTTTATTTCTTCATTTTGAAACTTTGTAATATTCCCAATTAAAAATGAACTTAAAAGGCAAGTCGACGATGCATGCTAGTGGGCAACTTCATCATTAATATCTATTGATTAATCCCTATCTGAACTAATTCAATCCAAACCCTTTAAAAAAAATCTTAATTTTTTTGCAACTTCTAGATTTCCTACTTAAAAATATTTTTTACTGTTGTACAATTTTTTACATAAAATCCACTTACAAGAAGAGAGAGGAGAGACAATTGACAAGGTGCACCGTAATTTCCGCTCTTTAATCCAGTTCTGCGCTCTTGACTCGCGGGACAAAGAAAATTGGCCGAGCAAAAAGTTCGGCGGCCAAGCCAATTTGGCGAGCAGGTGATCCGTTGAGTGAAAAAGAGCCCGCTTGTTAAATTACAACCTCTCTCGCGGTGTGGTAAAAGAAGAGAGCGAATTCACTTTGGCCGCCAACAAAAAGGCCCTAGTAGCCTACATCAGTCACACAAACACACAAAAGCACTTTCTTTCCTCCCGCCGGCATGTGCATCGGCATTTTATTTCCAGGACGTGTGATAAATTTGTTTTCGTGGGCGAAAGAGATAAATGCGTGTGGACAAAGCGGCGCGCGATGACAGACGACTATCCGCCGTGCGGTGAATTATCCTCGGAAATTGCGCGTGTTTTGTCCGCCTTTCCACACGGAGAGAGGCAATAAATAAAAATTTAATTGTGTTGCCGGTGCTTCATCATTTTGCCAACGAGAGACGTGAGAAGAATCGCGAGCTTTTGACTCTTTTCAGTCTTTCCGAGCTTTTGTGTGTTCTTGAGGAAAGTCCTACAAACTTGATCATGATAATGGATGAAAGTACAGCTTTGTGCATGTAAACAGCTTAAATTTATAATCGTTGTGCCATTTACGATGTCATCCTCGACCTTATTAATTTTTTTAGTCATTCCATGCGAAATTAATTTTGATGCAAGATAAGTAAGTCATGCACAATCATATAATACATAATTGTAGTTTTTTTTATCTTAAATTTCAGCCAGTTTCATTTCTAGCACAGTTCAATTTGTATAATTATAAAAGCCAAAACACAATTCAATTTTTAGAAAGATTGATATTTAGTTAAACTGATGGTAATCATAATAAAAATAATTATAATGATCATTTCTATAATTTGCTAAAAATTGCATTTGTATTGAAAATATAAATCTATTTGAATTGCAACTCATACAAATAAAGAAATGAATAATTTTCCACTAATTACGCTATTTTTCATGATTAAAAACTAAATTGGCTATACTAAATCAACTTCATATATCTTGCGGTAAGATTTTTTTTTCTGAAATTACTATTAAATAATTTTATCTTTCTACAGTATTTCTTTTCAAAATTTAAACATTCACTGTATATTTTTAATCCACTCTTTCGCTTTGAAATGTGCTGAAATACAAACCCAATTTGCAAGCTCAGGCAATTTTGGGGTCGCTGCGATCACGTTCTGAATGCTGCTACCTCTCGCGCTGTCATAAATCGGTTGATTGGACAAGTTTCTACTTGACCTTTGCCAAACTAATTTTTCCGTGAATTTAATAGCTCGTTCCCAAGTGATCTCCGTTTATTTGAGCCGTCGTGCGCTCAGTAGTACCAACAAATCATAAATCAAAGTGAAACTTGCTCGCACTCCCAATAAAATTTACGATGGCAAAGGAAAAGGAGCGTTTTCGGTATGCCCGCGTTTGTAATAAAATGAGGCATTGCCTATTAATTCGAAGCGAGAGTAGAGCAACCGTTTAAGATCAATAAGTGTTCGCCACTTCCTCTCTGCAAATGCACTACATTACAACAAAAGGAAACCTCAATTCATTTAGCGCCGCAGGAAAAATAATTGCAAAGGAGGAGCAAGTCACTCAAAAGTCCAGCTGGCGATTTTCACTCTTTTTTATATTTTTTAATTAAAACTTATTCCCTTCACAAAAGCGAAGATATTCAAATAGCAAACCAAATAATTTTGTGCATTGTGCATCGAGAAGAAAGTTGCAGAGGTGCATCTCTCTGCGTGGCATTAAAATTTAATCACCTTGTTTCGTTTAACACAGACGCCGCCGGAGGCTGCGAAGAAAGTCTTCTTTATTTCTCGCTTCGTAGTGCAAGCCCAAATAGCCGCACCCGATTCCAACGTATTTGGACACGATGACGTTTACAATTTATGCAGTGTGGGTGTAGTTAAATGAATGCCCGCGATGGCATTCCGTCGTCGTCTCTGGGCGCGGCCGTTGCACTTTCGGCGCTATACCAAAATAATTAAAAAAAAGAGTTGCATAATTTGGCAGCGAATTATATCAGATTGTTTTAAGAATCCCGTGATTCAAAGCAACTACATTAATTTAATTGGTGATCAGTAATTTCATTATAATATACTCAACTTAATCAATCATTGCTAAATAATATTGTGCTCCCTAGCAGCGTGGAAATAGATCCTGTTGAATTTAGAATTCTATAATTTTCCATCAATGCCAAGTAGAAATATTAAAAATTGGGGAAAAAACAAAATTCAGAGTTAATTTGATATATTATTAATATTTTTGAAGTAATATTACAAATTTAAGTAATTATAAGCAAGTGGGCGTAAAATTAAAAAAATTAATATTTACAAATAAAGAAAAATAAATAAAAAATAAATAAGTGAAATAGACTTAATTTTAATTATTAAATTTATTAAAATTACGTTCTTAAAAATTTTAACTGCAATTTTCATGCTTTATCTGTTTAGCCTGTTTTCTTAACGGACTTGGCATCTTGGGTGAAAATTTTTCTGTTCCAGTCCAGCATGTTATAATCTCATCGACTCCTACGATCTTGAGAGGAGAATCGCCGCTCAGCCGCAGACAAAGGAGCCGCCGCCGCTTGCTTTATGTGTGTTTGTACACAACGACGCTGACTGACATTGAACTTGCATACAAATAGCTCCATATTGTTTACGATTCTCTCTCCTTATTTGGCACAAGAGCGCCGATCAAAAATCTTTCTAACTTCCTTTGGCTGCAGCGTGAAAGCGCGCGCTTCTTCTTGTAAGACAGAAGTGTGTTTTTTACTCACTTTGCAAATGGGAAATTCGGA